TTTAATAATGCCACTAATAAATTACTAACCTTATTAGTAGATACAGGAGCAGACGTGTCTCTACTAAAAATCGGAAATATAGATAAATATGAAGTAAATAAATTTGAGGTAACAACCCTCAGCGGTATAGGCCAAGGTTCGATCCAATTATTAGGTCTTACACAGTTTGATCTTAGAATTGAAAATATTCTCGTGACGCATAAATTTTAAGCGGTACAAGATGATTTTCCTATACAGGCGACGCTCGCAAATTAGAACCACTTTGTTTTTAAGGTAATTCTAAAACAATGTAGAAAATTTATTAAAAAAATATAATAGATTTCTTTTTTCGCTTTATTTTATTTAATAAAATTTAGAAAGCAAAACTAAACAATCCCGGGGGAATACATATAACTTGTATTTTTTAACTATATGCAACAAAAATAAAAATTTACTCCAATTAAATCACATGTACATATTATATTTTTTTATCTTTTATAGAATATCTTTTATAGAATGGAAACTCCGCCCACCTCAATCAAAACTAAGAGAAATTGCTTAAGAAAATTCATTTTTTATAACATTTTTGTCACACATTTAAAATAAGTTTGATTACACCACACTTAGCCACTTTTACGCTCTTTCATGCTCTTTCAGGGCTGCTGCATAACTTTTTTTCAACTTCTTACTGTACAAGTTTTTATTTAAGCAGATTTATAAATACTCATAAATTAATATAAGCATACATTACATATAATTTGAATATTATTAAATTAAATCATTGAGTATAAATATTATAGAGTAGAAATCTGAAAACAAACTCAATTTGCTAAGTAGACCTGTGGGGGCGCGGGTAACAATGTTACATGAAATAGAGAGCACAATGAATTTCTCTACAACGCTCTATAACATAGTAAGCACGTGCATGTAAGTTTTTTGTTATGATTTTGTTTCCTTGTACTCTATTTTGTACCCTTGTGTATTTTTATTTCATTGAAACTAAATATCACTTTTCAGCACCAAATTTAAATAGAGGAATATATTCTATTTTATGGTCATAGGCATAGGCATATGAACATATTATTATTTTTGTTTCAGAACTTCCTAGAAATAAAGGCTACTCATATTTTTTTTAATGAATTTTATTAGTTTTGGGTTTATTCTCATATATTCCTTACATTCCCATATATATATATATACATATATACGTAAAGAAATAGATTTTTGGCCCCAAATACGGAAAGAAGATGAGGTTGTAACTGCACCATCAGAATTGGTTAAACATTTTTATATTTATTCTTTTTATTTATTTATTTATTAACACATGAAGCTCATAATATATACATACATACATATGTGTATACTGAAGCAATTAGTAAGCCTTTACATATACATACATATTTTTAAAAACAGTTTTAAATCCGAATCAAAACAATAAAAATAATAGTAGCATTGTTTCTGATATGAAACAAAAAAAAACCAAACTTCTTTTTCCGCTTACAATTTCTTAATATTGGATACAAAATTAATACAAACATACCTACATGCTGAGAAATAGAAAAGAAATATGTAAACATATACAGTGATGAACAAAATTATTGGCACAGCAAGCAAATTTAACTTTTGCACTATTTTTATCCTGTTAACAATGCGATTTTTAATAGTTCAAATTGCTTACTGTGCCAATAATTTTGTTCGTTACTGTATGTATGTTAGTAAAGTGCACATGCAATATGAAAGCACACAAAAAGACTAGAGTAATATTTTTTTCCTACATATACCTTCCTAATAAATTCGCAGAAGCACTGATCAATATAACAAACGACGAAAAGAGTTATTTGAGAGAATCGTTTTGCCCTTTACTTTAATTTCCAAAGCAATTCAGAAAACAAGACATGAAGAGAATGGAGTGTTTTTTGAGTGCAAAAAGCAAAGAAGATAAAGAAAAGAAACTGAGAGGAAATTTTGAATAATGGTGCCTCTTTGTGTAATATCGCAAAGAAAATCTCTTTTACTTATTTACCATACCAGAATTGTCAAATATTAAAAACGGTGTGGCTTATAACTTAAATATTTACTACATTTGTGGTTGCATATTAGCATGTAGCCATTTCTTCTAATTAGAAGAAATAGTATAAATTATTGTTCTTGGAAAATCCATTGTATATATTAATACGATTATAATGAGTAAATATAGGCATGATTTTTTATATCAGTTTTACTTCAATTTACATAAAAGTTTTAAATGCGCTATATAAATCAAATATAAATGAAGAATTGGTAAACTAAAATCAATAGTAAATATAAAGTAGCTATTATTGATATATGTAAATATGTATATATAATTAGTCATGAAATTGTTTTAATAAAGTTAAAAAAATTGTATCGTATTTATTAAAATAAAAGTTCTTTTAATCATGTTGCACATATATGTACGTACTATATTTATATATATGCTGAGCATCTAATAGAAAAGTTAGTATGTGTTCATACATTTCGAGTATTAGATTGCATTGTTTTAATATTTTGTTTTAAAAAGATTAATATTAATATAATTTTTTAAAATTCAAAAAAAGTTTGGTATATTGTAATACAATTTTTGCTTGTGCATCAAATTTTTTCAATATAGAAAATCGTAAAAATGTATATACTGTTTACTACTACATATTTTTTGTAGTTTTAAGCAATCCTTTCAGTAAGGTGAAATGTTTTTTGTATATGAAATTCAAGAAATTCTTAACTAGTTAATAACAACATTGTAAACAATGCGGATCAATTTCATCGCATAGCGTTAGAAGAAATATTAAATATATAAGCATTTTCCGCACCACCTAAGAGGTATGCTTGCTGGCGCGTTACTGAGTTTTAGGTGTTGGTTCCCTAATAGGCCTATCCACCAAAATGTTTTATTTAACAAATATACAATTTTATGTGAATACAATTTAGAATAACTTAATATATACAAAATAATATTACTATTTTAAAAATATTTAATATTAAACCAAAAATAATAAGGAACTATTAAATTAAAGATAAATTATAAATAAATTTAATAAATTATAAAATTAAAACTAAAATATTTTTTGTTTAAGCAAAAAATCACTTAAAGAGTATGAACACTTTTGTGCTGTTTATAAGTGTTGAAAGCATAATTGTTTATATTTAAAATTCGACACTTTATTATCTCGATTGAAATATTTTAAAATGAAGTAAATTCTTACTTTAATGAAAAAAGATAGAAGAGTTTCAATTTTGCAATTAGGGCAACATATATAGGGATGAACGTTTTCTAATTTATTAAATAAATGTTGCGCTAAACCTAATTTATAGCAATTGCTATCGAACTGATCCGAAAATTGTGATTCTAATTTTTCAATATATGTATATATAATAACAACACTCAATCAAAGTATAATTAATAATATTAATTTCTCTTCAGGATTTTTCCTTTTTTATAATTATTAGTATATCATGGAAAAAATAAAAAATAAAAGCACAACTTAATTCGTAGTTTATTATATACACTAATTAGGCACACATCTAAGTTTCTAATGTGTTAATACATTTATATATTTACTTTATTCTACAACAATAAATTGCGTTATTTTTAATTAATAATATACCTTCGATAATCGTTTGGATAAATATAGAGATGTTTGAAATTTAAACATCCAAGTACGCACTTCCGTTTCAATTGTAAATAAATTTTAATTAACTAATAATTCATATATTTTTCTGGAATAATTACCTTTTTTTAATGCTTTTATAATTGAAAACAAATTCCGCCTTATTTTTCTTTTAGTAATGTGGTATTTGTGCACTTAATTGCAACTTTGGCGCATTTTCTCGTAACGGATTTTTAATGTCAAAAAACCAAAACAAACAACGAAATTTCTCAGAAACCTCTCTTACTTTAGCAAATATCGTGGTGAGTAGGGACCGGGTGGGCAAAGTACCAGGGTCCGGGTGGGGAAAATATTCACGCGCCATTATGTAGCATTAGGCTTTTTGTTATTGTACTGCGTAATATTTTCACCTCATTACACAAAATTTTTGAATATTTTTTGAATAATCCAGAAAAATTTATACACAATTTTTCGAGTAACTCTCAGTTTCTTTTCTTTATCTTCTTTGC